CGCCAGCGTACGGGGCAAGGGCCCCCCCGCAGCCCCCTCCCCAGCCTCCCGCAGCCCCCTCACCCCAGGCTCTTCCCCGCAGATCCCCAGTGTGGAGCAGCAGCTGGAGGCGCTGGGTGATGTGTTTGGCTCCAACATAGCAGACAATTTAGAGAAGGTAAGGGGTTCCCCCCTGCACCCAGGCAGAGGGTTGGGTGCTCCTGGCACTGCTGGGGCTGTGCTAGAGGGGGTGGCTTGGGAAGAGCCCCTCTGGGAGCTGATTGCCGTCACAAGGAGGGAAGGGCTGGCCGGAGGTCTGCCTTGGCCGGAGCCTGCCCACTGTGCCTGCCAGCCCTGGGCGCTGGCATGGTCAGGGCTGGGTGCTGGGGGAGCCTGGCTGTCCTGTGCCACCGGGATCTGGGGATGGAGGGGATGTGCCACTCAGCCCTGGGCTGCGGGCTGGAACGTGAGCTGTACTGTGTCCCCCCCGACACAGGTTAACAGCACGCTGGACACGACTCCTGCCAAGGTGCAAGAGCAGTCCCAGGACGTGGTGACAGGTAAGCAGGGCTTTGTGCCCCGTGTGCCAAATTGCCCTTTTCCCTGGGCTCCATGCTCCGTTCTCATCCCATCCCTGCCTGAGGACCTCCCCTGCTGCCACCCCACTGCCTGCAGCCCTGGCTGTCCCCAGGTGCCCATGTGCTATTAAGCTGATGCCATCTGTGACCAAAGTCATCCCTTTCCCATCCTCTCCCAGTCCCCGCTGCCCCAGGCTCACCTGCCCCAGACGAGCAGGACCCAGGCAGCAGTTCTCAGCACCAACCTGTCCCTATCCCCTGCAGAGACCCAGGACCAGCTGGGCCTTGTCAGACAGCAGATCAGGAGCTTGCAGGAGCAGTTGCCGCTCACGGATGTGGAGGAGAATGTCGGGTCCTTTGTGGGCAACGCCACGTCGGTGCTGGAGGAGTACAGGGAGCCGATCATCGCCTTGGATGGGCTCAGGCAGGCGAGGGGCTGCTCCATCTCCTGGCTCCCTTGTCTGGAGAGGCTCAGGCTCTCGATCCTCTGGTTGCCAGAGCTGGGGGCTTGCTCAACGGTGGGACTGTGGGTGCAGGGTAGCCAGAGCTGCACCTTGCAGCCACCCATGCCCCTTCTCTGCCACATTGCCTGGGGGCTTTTTCCTCCCCAGGCCGGCAGCTGATGGGATGCCAGGCACTGCTCGGGGTGCCAGGTCCTGCTGTTTGACTCCTGTCCCTCCTCTTGCCCCAGGTGGAGCGTGTGTGTCCTCCTGTGCTGCATGGTGCTGCTCGTGGTCCTCTGCAACATCACTGGGCTGCTGCTGGGGCCCCTGGGGCTGAAGGAAAACGTGCTGCCCACGCAGCGCAGCAGCCTCTCCAATGCCGGCGGGAACTTCTTCATGGCGTGAGGCTCCCTCAGCTGCTGAGAACGCCAGTGGGAGCGGTGGGATGGGCGGGCAGGGCTGGCCTGGGGATGCTCTAGCTCCTAAATCATCAAATTATTGTGGCTTAATGGCCTCCGCCATGGCAACTTGCTGTGCAAGTGGTGAACATGAGGGTAAAACACGGTGCTGGTGAAAGGTGTTTGAACGGAGCCTGTTTGCCCCTTGCCAGTGGGGCCCTGGCAGTGTGCGTGTAGTCCACGCGCAGGTGGGTGGTGGCTTGCAAAGCTGGGGGAGATATGCTGGGATCCGAGCCCCAGGGTACAGCACAGCTGTGCTCCGGGGGCCAAAGGCAGAGTGGAGATGTGCTTGTGGGAATGGTGGTGCTTCCTGGCATTGCTGGGGGTGCGATGGGTGAGCAGGGTCTGGGATCTGCGAGCTGGAGGCAATGCTAGCACCAACACTGGACATGGGGCCTCAAGTGCTTATGGCATCTCTGTCCCGCCAGAGGGGTTGGCTTCAGCTTCATCTTCTCCTGGCTGCTGATGCTGCTGGTGCTGATCACCTTTGTGCTGGGGGGGAACATCTACATGCTCATGTGTGAGTCCTGGCGCAGCCAGCAGCTCTTCCAGGTGAGCTCCTTGTGGGGAGACACCCCTGCCCAGAGCCACTGCCACCTTTCTGAGGGCTGCTGGTGGAGCAGAGGCAGCACTGGCTGGTTTGGGATGCTCTTCCCAGGTGTCCCGCCCCACACCATGTGTAGTTTCTCCATCTCTTCCCTTGCCCTCAGCTCCTGGACACCCCCGGCCTGATCCCTGGCTTCAACCTGTCGGAGCTGCTGGGCCAGGAGGGTGGCACAGCAAATTTCTCAGAGATGTACAGGTGGGTCCCAGCCTTGGCACTGTGGGGAGGTGCCCTTGGATGCTCCCTGGGATGGGGGCAGCTTGGCCTACATGCCCGGCTGTAGGCAGGCACCGATGCCAGCGACAGAGCAAGGTGCGACTTGCCCATGCGGGTGAGGACATGCTTTTGGGAGGGGGTGGTCCTCGTCCACCCCTTTTCAGCCCTGCACCCCCCTCCTGCAGGCAGTGCCAGCAAGATGCTGCCCTGTGGCAGACGCTGCACCTGGACCAGAGCGTGTCCCTGGACGAGCTCTTGAACATCAGCCAGGTGAGTGCAGGGGTGCCAGGGTCCTGGGGGACAGCTGGGGGCGCAGGGCTGGCGCTGGGGGGGGACAGCGAGGGGCTGACATTGTGCACTATCATGGCTCCCCTTGTCCTGGCAGTACACAGGAGAGATCTCCACGGCCTTCGAGAAGATGAGCATCACTCTGAGCCCCATCTTGCTGCTCAACCAGAGCCAGAAAGACTTGCTGAATGCCAGCCGGGCTTGGCAGCCCCCCGACTTCACCCCCACCCTGGAGCAGGTGGGCTGGGGTCAGCCTGGTGTTGGGATGAGGGGTCCGTTGCCCCCTCCCCTTTGCTGCTGTGGGAGTCCCACTGCAGGCTCCCAGGGTGTCCCCTGCCATCCGTGTCACCCCTTGGGGCAGCTGGGCACCTCTTCCACCCAGGAGGCACTGGCTCCACTCTGCCCCACAGGCATGGGGTATGGCCCCCAGCACGAGCCCCATTCCCATCCTCATGGCTCTGTCTCTGCCTTTTCCAGCTGGATCGGAACGTGACCCAGGGAAGCCTCCTGGATCTGGCTGCAGAGCTGGAGCAGCTGGCAGGCAAAGCGGTGAGAGATCATGGCACCCGGGGCCATGGCCACCCTGTCCCCAAAGCCACAGGCTGTGGGGGCTCCTCCGCAGACCTGCCTGGGTGCTGAGGGGAGGCGAGGCCCTTCACCCTCGTCCAGCTCTTTTCTCCAGCCTGGTCCCCCATCAGATGGCTGTGGTGGGGCAGAGACCCCATGCCGGTGGCCACTGCTGACCGCATCTCCTCCAGGGCGCCAGCGTGACAGAGGACCTGAAGGCTGATGCTCGCAACCTGAGGGACCTGGACAAGGAGATGCAGATGAGCTTCTCTGGGCCGCTGGTGAGCAATGCTGGGGTGGGGAAGGTGCTGGAGGGTGCTGGCTTGGGCTTCCCCAGAGCTTGGAGACTGCTGGTGGGGTCTTGGCTGAGCCATGGGGTCTGTGTCTCTGACTCCTCTCTCTCCATCCCCAGCAAAGCCTGAAGAAGAACATCCACTTGGTGCAGAGCAGGGCTGCCCAGCTGGAGGTAAGCTGCACAAGGGGACCTCCTGAGTGCACCCCAGTGTGGGGCACCCTGCAAAGTGCCCTTGAGGTCCTGCAGTGGAGATGGTGGGGGCTAACGTGCAGTCTGGGGGGCTGGTGGCTGTGTGGGACTCCCCAGACATGCACTGTAGGGGCTGCTCATGGGGCAGAGGGAGGGGGCCCACGCCACGGTCACTGCCAAGTGCAGAGTCCCTCCACCCAAGGTACTTGGGCTGTACCGGCGTGTGACTGCTGGGGACACCACAGCTCAGAGATGCTGCACCCCAGGGATTGCTGCCATGCCGGGTGGGGGACATGTGGGGACCCCACTTACCCCATCACACTGCCGAGAGCACCTTTCACCTCAGGCACAGACAAAAGCTGCGGTGGAAAAAGCCAGCGAAACCCAGGAGTTCCTGGACAAGGAGATGGCAAACATCATCAAGAACGTGAGCTTGCCTTGCCCTGCTGCCTGGCCACCCAGGGGGGATATGACTGGACCCCCACACCAAGACCTCCCTCTGCACAGGGATGCCAAGCAATGTCTGGCTGCTTGTCCTTCCCCAGGGGTCCCCTGCACCCCTGGGTGCCCCCTCCCCTTATGGCACACCAGGCAAGGGGCCAGGGCAGGGCTTGCAGCCCCATTGCTGCTGGGTCGAGGTGGTCTGACAGCTCTGATCCTGATATGGAGGGGACATGGGGCATGGAGGGTGCTGGGGGTGCAGTATCTCCACTCTTTGCTTGCCCCCTCCCAGGAGACGTGGGCCTTCCTGGAGGAGCTGTTGGACTTCTTTGAGACCTACATCTCCTGGGCTAAGAGCAGGGTGAGTTGAGCCTTCCTCGGTGGGGTGGAGGAAAGGGAAGGACAGACTGCAGGGTATTGGGGACACTGACATGTCCTGTTCCCACCGTGTCCCCAGCTGACGGGAGATGTGGCACGTTGCAAGCCCATAGCTCAGACCCTGGATAACGTGGAGGTCATCACCTGCGACTACATCCTGGACTCTCTGGTGAGTGGGGCAGCAGTGTGTGGGGTGACGCATGTGTGTGGGGTGTCAGTGAGGTCCCCTTGTCCCCCTCATGTACAGAATGAGGGGTACCCATCTCTGTCCTGAGCAAGCAGGGCTCAGCATCTCTCCGGCGGATTGCTGTGGCTGAGAGCAAAGGCCAGGCTGTGAGAGGGGGTGGGTGGGTGGTCT